GCAGGCCTCGGGGGTTGTCCTCTTTAGTGAATGATGGCTCCTTCCATCCATCAGGAACGGTCAGGAGTTCAGATTCATCTACTGCAGGAAGCATGCAACAGATAAAAAAACAAATAGTCTGATAAATTAGAGGATTTTAGCTCCAGGAAGAACCCTGTTTTGACTGCTAATGAAGAGGAAACAGACATTTTTACATAAAAACTAGAGCAGCATTAAACATTCTACCTTATGAATCCAAAACAAAAGGTGCTGCTGCCATGTTGTGTTAGAACCAGGCTTCACACTGAGGATGGATGGCCCTCCTACTCTGCCGTTTAGAATCAAAGTGGGAATTTTTTTTTACAGCAAATTACTAATTACAACCAAGCAAACTATCCATCCATCTGGGTTTGAGTCGGTGGGGCAGCAGCCTAAATAAGCAGCGAGGCCCAGACTTCCCTCTCCCCAGCACTAATCCACCTTTCCCTCACTCGTGAACAAAACCTCATGATACTTACAACTTCTCCACTTGATGCAGGACCTCGTCCCTGACCTGAAGAAGGCACTCTACCCTTTTCCAATTCAAGACCATGGTCTCAGGTTTAGCCATGTAAACTAGAAAATTACTATTAGAACACCCTGTAGCAAAGTAATAACTGAATCAACATCAAGAGAAAAGACCAGGGGAGTATTCTTAAATTTAGTTATAAATGTTCTTTTTGCTCACGGAATAGAATTTAAACTCATTCTGCAGAAAGCCACTGGGAGGGAGGGGTGTCTGGTTGTTTTGAGGCTTCAACTACAGTGATGAGATCAAATCAGAGATGTTTTCAATTAATTCTTTTCTAACCATACCACCCACCTCAAAGCACTTTATAACTTTAACACACCAACACATGCATCATATTTCTATGCATTTACTCAAGTTATCTTTTCCTGACAAATTGTGTTTGCTGGTCTAACATCGATGTGAGAAAAGGCAACCCGCTGCTTGCTGGTAAACATGTGCAGCGCTAAATTTGACCACGTCAGTTTTTCTTTGCATATTTTAGCATCGATTAAGAAGCATACGTTTAAAGTTCTTCTAACCAGAAGAAAACGTGATGACATGTGCAAATCCAAGTCTGTTTAATATGAACATCACATGTAGCTAGACGCTAATCCACACATTCCTTGTATCCAACTGGTAAACATCTGAAATAAACCGCTCATATTTATGTTTGACAACCTGTCAGGTGTCGTGTTGGACTGTTTAGTTTTGTTCAGCTTACCTTGTTTTTTCGCCTTTTTCCCCTTTTGATCGCCGCTCATGCCGTCTTCACTCACGGAGGACGCCATTGCTGAGCAGAAGCGGAAGTGACGGAAGAAAAAGTGCACCACTCCTCTTGAAACAATATTTCTAACGGTTCCGACCCTCAACAGGAAACTTTTTTTTGTTTAATTATTTTAGAAAGACTTCTAGAACCAGAGGTGTTATTTAATCGTTAATTTTAACCCTTTTATTTATAAACTCTAAATACATTTCTGAATTATTTTAGCTCTGAGGAACAATTTAGGCTACAACTCTTTCGAACGACTTGTTCACTTTGGTAATCAACATGAATTTAGGTCTGGCTCAATGTCATTATGTGTGAAAACTTGCTAAGCAACTGACAAAATTTTGTATGCAAATGTGTCTGGCAGTAATGGCATAATTTCTAACTTTCCAATTAATTTTTATTTTCCCCCACATAAAATGAAATGGAGGATACATTAGAATAGAATACATCTTTGACACTGTTACAAGAACAATGAAAGGCAGTTTGGCATCTCTCCATGTATTCACAAAAATATTTACTAAAGGGATAAAATCAGATGTTCTATTTTGATCTACCTACATGTTTCTTTGAGCCACATCAGGTATTATTTATGCCCATAACTTAAATATTCCCAACTAATAGCAAATTCCATACATTAAGTACCTCTCTCATGGAACAATGCAAAGGTCAAGGGTCATCCAACACAAGACTTTGTACCTTTTTCCTGAGGTCCCTTTGTTTTAGAAATACGTTGTGCATTTACACTGGTTGGCCAGTAGATGGTTGTGATTCTAAGCAGGTTATTGTGTAGAAGTTGCTCATGGTTTGAAATGAAATTGTACATTTTCTGTCATGATTTATTCTCCAAGGAAACATTACACGCTTTCAGATGCTCTTCCAAAGTTTATTTAGGCTGCATGTGCTCATAATAAGCCATCACTGCCTTGATTGCAATCAGTGAGATCACACCTATCCCCAAAAAGCTGATTGATGCAGCAACAACAACAAACATGCTAGCAGCTTCTGTCCCTGTGAAGAGATGGGGGAAAAAAAGGTTTGTTTACATTGAACACCAGGCAGTCTGACTGTATTAGTCACAGAACACATGCTTTAACCTTTAACTGCTTGAAATGTGTTGATCAGAACAAAATGATCCAAAACATGCAAACACATGTTTAAACCTGAATCAGCTGGTTATGAGCAGATGCTCTGTGGACATGAACTCACAGTAGGATGGATGGACCGACTTCACCCTGGTGCCGACAGTCAGTGGCCCAGCGGACACCACAGTCACTCGTTTCTCTTCCCTGTCCATCTGGCTGACTGACCTTTTGGGGCGCTGCTGGCTGGTGCAGTTCTGCATGAAAAACATAAGTCAGCTGTTTCTACTGCTATAGAAACAAAATAGTCATTTCAATTCAATTCAAGTTTATTTATAAAGCGCCAAATCACAACAAGAGTCGTCTCAAGGCACTTCACATAATAAAAATTCCAATTCAGGTCAGTTCATTAAGCCAATCAGAAATAATGTTTCCTAGATAAGGAACCCAGCAAATTGCATCAAGTCACTGACTAGTGTCAGTGACTATACAGCAATCCTCATACTAAGCAAGCATAAAGCGACAGTGGAGAGGAAAACTCCCTTTTAACAGGAAGAAACCTCCAGAGAATCCTGGCTCAGTAGAAGCAGCCATCCTCCACGACTCACTAAAACCCATTTCAACAAATAATGATTCCAGAATGAGAACAAAACTTAATGACAATCAGAGCAATAAAATTAGGGCAGCTCATTTTATAAATATGAGGAACAGAATTCAGAGTTTACATTTTAAGTAGAAGTCAGGCACTCCTCAAAAGTTTAATGATTTAATTAAAAAATTACCCTTTTAGAGTTAATGTGGACTAAAATGGAACATATGAAGGTTTGTTTATAATTGCATGAAATATCTTTGAAACTAGAAATGTAGTCTAGAAAATTTATTATGAAATGTGCCATCCTTTGTTTACACATTTTCTCATCTTTAATAAAACACATGTGGAGGACACGCCTTCACCAGCTCTTGTTGTACAAAAGGGGATTGAAAGTTTCCGGTTTAAAAGGTGCAACGACGTATTGTGTTTGGGGACCAGACGGAGCACCCTGAATGTGGTGCTGAAAGCCCCGCCCACTCACCTGCACACAATTATGTTTCAACAGCATCAAATAGCCAAATCAAATTAAAAACACAATAAAAGTTATTGTAGGGCAATTACTACAGAAATTCAGAATTAACTCACTTGTAAGTCGCTTTGGACAAAAGCGTCTGCTAAATACATAAACAAACAAACTCATGGAAAAGTGATCTGAGGTGTTTAGTTTCCATCAAAAACAATGTTCCGTTTGAAAATATACCAATTATTACCCCTATAGAGAAACGGCTTGTTCCAGTTTCAACTTTCAGGTTACAGTCGGGCCTCTTTACAAACTCATTGGTCAAGTTGTCAGATACACCATCATGTCAGTATGGACCAGAACCTCTGAGGAGAGTTTCTAAACACAATTATGACATGAATAATTAAAGTGGTTCTGGAAGCAAGAATGGTCGAACCCAGTATAAGCAAAGTGTACTTATGAAGAGATAAATAAAGCTTAGATTGATTGATTGACTAGTGTAGTGTGGCTGGGTGTGGATCCCAGTTTAAAATGAATAAATGGTTGGCTTTAAAGGTGTGGTTCACTCATTTAATAAATACATTTGCAGTGGTCTTTGGTAGGAATAAATTCTTTGCAAGCAGTTCTCAGGGCAAACAAAAAAAAAATCCAGAGACGCTTGGATCAGCACCAACAAGTCTGCTGCTGCTGCTGCAGAGTGGCAGAATATGCCTTTAAGACTCAGACTGAATAACATCAATGAAACTACCACTAACTTGACTGTTTGTGCGTAAATGGATGCCAGGTGGGGTCTTGGACTCTTCCTCTCTCCTGGGACATCTTGCGGCGCTACATGTTCGCCTACCCTCTCCATGCCACTTTTTCCTGCCGGTGGGTGGTGCCTCGGTCTGCCTACATATCCGCAGCATCCGTGTCAGGGCGGGAAATGTTTAGGATCCGGCTGGTCGTTCCCAGTGGCGTCTGGATCCCTGGGCTCTGTCAGGTCCCCGGCGGGGTTGGTCGCCCTTCGGTCCCAGGCCGCTGTGTTCTGAGCCCAGCCAGCTCGGGGGTGGGTGGGTGGCTGGGGGCGGGCCTGGGAGCTTGCTGCCGTTATCCCCCAGGGCTCTGGAGGCTGCTGGTTGCGATCCTTGTGGTAATCCTCAGCACCTCTCAGGAGGGGAGTTGGGGCTTCTCCTGCAGCTGTCTCCCTGTGGTTCCTGCACTCCAGGGAAACCATTGGACCTCTAGGGCTTTGACTCCCTCTTCTGCACGTCTTTGAGGGAAGGTCTGTATGACACTCACTATCGGACACTCCTATAGAGAAACCTTACATATACAAGCGCGTGTACGCACGCAGGTGCTCACATGATGCTCTCACAAGGATGGACTTGGGCATTTTCAACACATCTGTGTGGTGGCTGTGGTTCACACTAGTTGCACTCCTGCCTCCGTGTCGGTTAGTATTTAAAACAATCAAAAATATTTCTAATAAAGGTTTGGCATCAGGTGTGGCACCGTAGCAGAAGCTAACACTCCACCTGTGAGAGTAAAATTGCAAGGCTCGTCTTCGGCATACAGACATCAATTCTGACTGCTTCACAGCCGGACAGGAGGCGGAAACAAAAAGGGAAATCTCGCCTCAGATTGAATAACAGCGATGGAACTCTACCACTGACTTGCAACAATGATGTTTTATTTCCACAAACAAGCCTGGGGTAGTTATTCTGTGTGGTGGTGTTGCTAATGCTAAAGGTTAGCTTCTCCTAGGCGGGAAGGTTTCTGCTGTATGAAAACAGCAGCCTTCCCCGTCATAAGTCAAACTAGGTGAGTCCATGAATGTTAAGTGACAGTATGATGAAGAGCTGACAAACTTTTCAAATCCTAATTTCACAGTCTATTTTCTATTAGACGCTAATGCATGAGATTGATGTAGGAGACCATTTTCAAGTTCAGCCTGCATGAAAAACTTAGTGTCCAATTATAATCAGAAACAATCATTAGAAACGGGTTTTTTCTGAGTTCCACACCTTCAATGATTCATATCTGGATGTTTTATTCTGTTGAGCTGATTTGACTTATTTTACTTCTCATAACTTAAAATGGTTTTACTGAACTTTGAGTATTGCAACATTTAGCTGATGCCCGGCTCTGATCTTGCCGCTTAAACCCAATGAAATAAAGATTGCAGAGATAATCTGGCTGATCTGATAACATTTGAAGTACTGGGACTTTACTGGATTTCCATTATAAGTATTAGGCGCTCAATGGCAGCGCAGCAAAGATCTTTCAGATCCAGCTGCATTTTTTACCTTTGTGCAGTCTTCATCCCGTCCGCAGATGTTGGTCAGACAGTGGAAGTACAGAGGTAACCCTTTGGGCATCTTAAACATCTGCAGGGAGAACCTGCTGCTCTGAGACAGGCCGTTAGCAGAGAGCCAGTGGAACGTTTCATCAACAGGACAGCTGGAGAAATGAGAAAAAACAGCCCTTCCCTTTGATCTCTACAGAGGTTTACACACTAAAACAATTACATTACTTCCAATTTATTTATAATGCACATTTAACACCAGCATGTCAGCTGACCAAGGTGCTGTACAGGTAGGACTTAGAAACATAAGGCAATAAAAACTGTAAAATACATTTCAGAAAGCTAAAACAAAAAATACAGGCATCAACAACCAAACGCTCAGCAGAAAAGTTGAGTTAAGAGCAGTCTTGAACCTGATCAGAGAAGATGCCCGTCTGAAAAAAGAGGCAGTTCAGTTTTGAGGCAGTAAAAGGGAAAGCCCGCTCCTCTCTGGACTTGAGCCTAATTCATACTTCTCCGTCAGCTCTGCGAGGGAGACGCAGACACACTGACAAGAGACGTTTTGCTTTCAGGCTTCTCCGTCAGCTGGGGATTGTTGTTAAACAATTCCTCGCCAGGACAACAGAGGGTGTAGTGCTATTCGGAGGCATCCTGTCACCATACAGTCACAATAGTGTATTTACTATTGTGTTTACATTGTTTACTTCTGAGGCTTTAACTCGGACAATTTTGTCCCTCATTCCTCTCCACCTCTTCATGGGATCGGCACCTCTAAACTCACGTTTTTCGTCTTTTCCATCCACAAATAACGCTTGCTGCATATCTTTCTACTCCTTCAGTCACGGGTGAATTAATGTTTATATTTTTAGACTTTTTCCAAGACTCATTCTTCAATCTGTTTCGTGTCTGCCACTAAATACCTAGTTTTTGAAGTGGCAAAAACAATGCTGTTGACAAATTTACTGTAAGCAGCGTCCTGACCAATCACAAGCTTGTGGTCTCCGTCGCTGCCAACAGATGGTTAATTGGGGAATGTCTCCATCAGCCTCTGAGTTGAGGAGGGCTCCTGCGTTGATGCATAATGGCGTTGCATGTCTCCGTCCTGACGTATAAATAAAAATGAAACTGTATACATTCCTGGGGATGGGAGGGAATGTGGGTATGTGGGGTCATTTTAATTTGTAAAGCCCTTTGAGTTGCATTTCCTGTAAGAATTGTGCTATATAAATAAAGTTTAATATTATTTCATGGAGGGGATGCACAAAATCTGACGGGTTAGCAGACCTCAATGATCAAGTGGGGAAATAGGAGCTTTGTAGACCTGCACCTTTTAGAACTTGCATGCAATGGTTGCATCACTGGATACATTGATTAGCCACAACATTATGACCACTGTGAGACACTGTATATCTGGTCTGCTATTACGTAACATACAAGCAAATGTAAAGATCAGAGCATCATCGACTAAACTGTGATGTTGGACAGCAGGTTCCCTACTGCTGCTCTACTGGGTCGTTACCTTTGATGTGGTAGTCGCAGTGGCGGTTTTACCATTAGGCATAGGTCAGCGGCCGCCTGAGGCCCCCAAAATAGGGGGGCCCCCTCGCCCTGACCACCGGCACCCCTCTGTTAATCCCACAATGGACTATTCCTTTAAGACGCTGATGCACAAACAGGAAGCGATTGGTAGTCATTCCACTCCAATCCAGTTGGTGGCAGTAATGCACCAAATTGTTGTTTGCCAAGTGCCATAAGACCACAAATAAGAAGTGAGGCGGGAGCGTTCGTAACAAACTCGAAGCGATAGTCAAACATTAAGCATGAAATGCAATTATCCTAGTGGCTCCAATAAGAGAAAGAAGCAACTTGCTTTAAAAGAGCTTTTACCTTCACTTCCAAAAGTGACGTCATTTTCTATGTAATCATCAGAAAGAAGCAGAAAAGACAATGGAAAATGTTTAAAGGGAGGAAAACAGACCAAAATGGAAAATAGAAATAAAAAATTAACAGAAAAGCAAAAGCACAGGAGCACTGGCAGGAAGAAGAAAGCAAGAGCAAATATCGAAGGCACTCAAAAAGAGAGAGAGACAGGAATATAGAGGAGGACTAATAAAAAGGGAAAATAACTCGTCAGAGAATTTCGCAAATCCAGTTAAAGATAAGATTTTCGAAAATTTTGTGTAAGGGGGCCCCCAAATTGTTAAATCCGCCACGGGGTAGTCGTGTGTTATAGCACAAAGAAGGTAACTTGAGTTTAAAGCCAAACTGCAATAAGGCTAGAAATCCTCTAGGCAGCACAACAGTCACATGGACAGGTTGGTATGCTCTGATCAAACAGGTAGGATCTGCTGAAAAATGCTTTGGTAAAAAACATAAAAAGTAACATTATGCATAATCTCAGTATTGCAAAGCCTGATTTGTATTTCCCCGTACAAATCAGGGTACAGAGACACACACTGCCATTATGCACCAGCGCTCTGACATGCTCGCAGAGGCTGACTGAGACATGCCCAACTTTTTAACCATTCGTCGAAAGTGGCAAAGACTGCAAGCTTGTGATTGGTCAGGATGCAGTTTCCTTTAAATTTGTCAACAGCACTGCCATTGCCCCCTCAAGATATAGAAGATTGAAGAATGCCTAATGAAAAAAAGTCAGAAAATATGAATGTTATTCACGCGTGAGTGAAGGAGCACAAAAATGCTGAGCAAGCGTTTGATTTTTGGACGAAAATGAAGAGAAACGTGGGTTAAGAGGTGGCAACTGCATGAAGATGTGCAAGAGGAATGAGGGACAAATTTGTCTGTGTTAAAAATACTTTCAAATACATTAAAACATAAACTCAACAGTAAAAATAACTATTTTGGACTGGATACATGCTAACCGAGGCAGGATACCCCTAAATGGTGCTACGCCCTCTGTTGTCCTGGTGGGGAACGGCTTTGCAACACTTCCCAGGTGACGGAGAAGTATGGGGAGAAAACATTTCCGTCAATGCGTGTGTGCGGCTCCACTCTCGGGCTGATGAAGTACAAATTAGGCTTAATTTAATCTGAATGTGTGATGTGCACGACTCAGTTTTAATGTAATAAACCTTAGCTCAATATTTATATTTGGGAGCATCAACCTCACAAAAGATCCACAATTTGTGCATCTAGCTAAGCTGTTCATCAACTTAAAACAATACACTTGAAAAGTACCCTTCATGAAGGAAAACAGCCTGGACGGCGTCCATTGGGTCAGTGCCCTCTGTAGCCCAACAGGACTCCACCTGCAGGAGCACGTCTGAGGTAAAAGAGCTGTTGGTCTGCAGGGCCACCTGGAAGAACAGAGAGTCCTGAACCCACAGCTCTGCTGCATCTGTGTATGGCGAAGTGTAGGACTCATCTCTATACAGCATCATGGTCAGACCCAGTGGCAGAGATGAGTTGAACCCCACCAAAGCTAACGAGGAGAGCCTGCAACCAAACAAAACAATGAAGCAACTTCAACCAAATCTCTTGCTTTGTTGTGTCCAACAAACATCATGCTGAGGTCACGGAAGTGTGTGTGATGCATCCCACCACTCCATGTCAGCTGCAACTTCAGCATTTCGGATGTAATGCCGTGGGTAGATGCACTTCCACACAACTTTCAGGTCTTGTCGGGTGATTGTTTGCTCTTCAGTCAGACTGATGGTCAGGGTGTTCTGGAGCACAATGTGGGAGTTGTTTACCTGAAAACACACACACACACACACACACACACACACACACACACACACACACACACACACACACACACACACACACACACACACACACACACACACACACACACACACACACACACACACACACACACACACACACACACACACACACACACACACACACACACACACACACACACACACACACACACACACACACACACACACACACACACACACACACACACACACACACACACACACACACACACACACACACACACACACACAGTAAATGCATAAATGGAACATTTTCAATTGAAGGGAAATCTTAGTTTTATTAAAGTGACAATATGTAGTATTTGCCATTAATCTCTGGAAATATCCATTGAAATGTTGTAAACTAATTAAAAGATGCCCAGTTATTGAAAAATATGGCAGTTTCATAACATAACCATAAAAATCTGTTTCTAAAACACATGGGAGCGGGTCTAAGTCTCTGGGCGACGCCATATTGGATGCCATGTTTCTTTCTACAGAAGCCTGTTAGGACAGAATGCATTTACTGATTTGTAACAAATGGTTACAAAACTTTCACCATTAATAAATGTTTTTGTTTTACACATTTACCTCTTCACTCGTTGCCAGAGATAAAAGGGAATCTGATGTTCTTGTTATTTAGCTGGAGATTGTGCTCCCAGGGATTTTTGACCCTAATGGCCATCCGTTGGTAAGGTCTTACTTGAACACAAAAGTAACGCTTGCTTGCAATGATTTAGGCAACTACTGTCCCCTATCGCCAGGGAAACCACACACTCACTTTGAAGGAATAGTTGACTTGTTTAATCAACACATTTGCAGTAGTCTCTAGTAGGAACGAATGCCTTCTGAGTCATTCTCAGAGGGAAAAATATAACGGTGCACCATTTCTCAGATGGCAGCTTTTGGAGTCTTGTTTTCTGATTTTTGGAAATCTCACCACAGATTGCATAACAGCTACTTGACTACCACTTACTCCAACATGGATGTTTTATCTCCACAAATGACAAAAAAATAAAATAAAAATAAAAAATAACATAGGAGCTTCTGCATGTGGTGACGTTGCTACTGAAAACTGTTAGCTTAAACTAGCCGAGACATTGCTGCTGATTCCCGGATGTTAAAAAAAACAGCCTTCCCCCGTCGTTAGACAACATGGATGAATCCATGATGCTATTTCGCAGTGTGATGTAGATCAGTGAGGCTTTTCAAATATTTAGTTTCACTGTCTATTTTATATCAGAAGCTGATGCAGGAGATAGGTGTAGGAGATTTCTCTTTTTCATGTTCTGCCTGCATGACAAACTTAGTGATCGATTATAAATCATTTTTCTGAGTTGAAGAAAAGCAGAAAAAATGAGTTTCTGAAATATACACACACATCCTGATATTGGTGAAATCTACTTTTCCGTATCAAAACTGGTCTTTGCTAGCCTAGAAATCTAGACCATTTGAAGAAGAAGGAATTTGCTCTGCATGTTGATCTAGCCACGCTCCATTGGAAAATCTGCACCTCCAGTCTGGTGGCTGGCCAATCACAGCGCTCTGTTTGGTGGGCGGGATGTTATTACAACTAAGTGAAACCAAGATGGTGGTGGCTTGTTTGAAACGGCTTTGGCATCAATTTTGGACCATTTAGACTTAAAGAGGGACTGCACACCGTCAGAAAATGTAACTTAACCCCTTATCAAGATTTGAAAAATGCTATGAAAGTGGGCGTTGCCAGGAGGCACAGAGTGGCATGGCCAAGTTTGGGGAATTTCCATCCTGGGAGGGAGGGGGAGAGGGAGGAGACTACCGATGACGATAGATTGTTCCAGCCCCAGTCAATCACAAGTTTAAAATGCAGTAGCCACTGTTCTGTCACGAGGGCAGCACTGAGACGTTTTTAGACCTAGATTCTAGATTTAATCAAGTTTACACAAACGTGTAAAAAATGCACAGAAACAGAAAAATTGCATTTGTAAAGACCAAGTTATACAGTTTATAAGCAAAAAAAAAAAGTTATTTTGGGGTTTAGTTACTGTTTAAGCTTTTCTTTGAGTTGAGGGTAGGCAGATAGAGGTACTTAAGTTTATTTAGATAAAGGATGTATTTGCATCTTCTTCTACAGGGTACGGCAGACTGCCCCGTTGACTGACATCAGTAGCAGTGAGTACATCACGTTGATCACTGTCCAACAGCATGCAGAGACAGTTTGGGAAAAACAGCTAATGCTCCCATCCGACCACTGACAGCAGCCAATGGATCATAGCCAGACTAGTTTTTTGCAGCTTTTAATGTCTATTTATTAACATTTCTGTAAAAGTTCAACAACAGAATTCTCCTGAAAAAAAAAACAGTTTTGGCTGAAAAGTGCTCCTCACCTGCTTCTCTGTTCCACACACTGATGACTTTCTGGGCATGTGGAAGTAGTACAGTGCCTCACTCTCATTCACAAGGCAGCGGCCATCGTTGAGCTTCACCTCAATGTTCCCCTCAAAGAGAGAAGTAAGGTAAGCCTTCGATATCCCACCAGTCATCACCTTGTGCAGACACTGGTTGAAAAGTCCTTTATCTGGTAGGAAATAAGGGTTAACTGATCTTTATTTACAGTAATCCTGCAATCTGCTGTAGAGTTCAGAGTTGTTATAAAAACTAGGGATGTCCCGATCCAATCACATGATCGGAAATCGGCCCCGATCACGTGGTTTATGACTGATCGGTACTCGGGTTTTACTTCCCGATCCAAGCCCCGATCCTGACTTGGACACTGGGTTCAAATTACGGGATTCAATTCAATTCAATTCAATTCAAGTTTATTTATATAGCGCCAAATCCCGACAAGAGTCGTCTCAAGGCACTTCACATAGTAAACATTCCAATACAGGTCAGTTCATTAAGCCAATCCGAAATAATGTTTCCTATATAAGGAACCCAGCAAATTGCATCAAGTCACTGACTAGTGTCAGTGACTATACAGCAATCCTCATACTAAGCAAGCATAAAGCGACAGTGGAGAGGAAAACTCCCTTTTAACAGGAAGAAACCTCCAGAGAATCCTGGCTCAGTATAAGCGGCCATCCTCCACGACTCACTGGGGATCGAGAACACACAGAGAGAGAGAGAGAGAGAGATAGAGAGAGAGAGAGAGAGAGAGAGAGAGAGAGAGAGATAGAGAGAGAGAGATAGAGAGAGAGAGAGATAGAGAGAGAGAGAGATAGAGAGAGAGAGAGAGATAGAGAGAGAGAGAGAGATAGAGAGAGAGAGAGAGATAGAGAGAGAGAGATAGAGAGAGAGAGAGATAGAGAGAGAGAGAGAGATATAGAGAGAGAGAGATAGAGAGAGAGAGATAGAGAGAGAGAGATAGAGAGAGAGAGATAGAGAGAGAGAGATAGAGAGAGAGAGATAGAGAGAGAGAGATAGAGAGAGAGAGATAGAGAGAGAGAGATAGAGAGAGAGAGATAGAGAGAGAGAGATAGAGAGAGAGAGATAGAGAGAGAGAGAGAGAGAGAGAGAGATAGAGAGAGATAGAGAGAGATAGAGAGAGATAGAGAGAGATAGAGAGAGATAGAGAGAGATAGAGAGAGAGAGCGCAACTTGGTTCTCCTTAAAGGTTGTCAGGCTCCCCAGATGCCCTAAGTGGCGTCACCAAAAAATATATAATTAACACAGTCATGTCAGTTCAGTTTCTCTCTGGTAAGTTCTGTCTGTATTTGAGCATGACGTGCGGACGCACTCGCGCAGCAGCGCTCGTCACTGGCGCAACCGGGCAGCGCGGCGCACACTCCGCTTCTTTTGCGGTCAATAGATCAATTTGATCTGCTAGTTAAAAAGTTACTTGTGAGGTGAAAAAGAAAGAAGCAGGCAGGAGTTTTTCTGGAGGAGTGGAAGATGCGGGAAGATCAGAAAATTAAAAACTAAGAAAGCAAAACAAAGTTATTAAAAATAAAATGTAGGTAGATTTATCCCACTACATGTTTGTACCTGTATACAACAATAATTTATCAGCATGTAGTATTTATATAGTTGATACAATTCAGATCATCTTCAAAACTCCGTCCCATGCCCAGGGACGTATCTAAGCATTTTGAGGGCCGAGGCAAAATAAACCCCTGCCAGGTGTTTTAGGTTGAAGTGCTATCTTTTTTATATTAGACTTTTTATATTTGCAATAAAGTCCAAAAGTGAAGAATTTATGTTATTTATTACTTGATTGTTCAAGATGTACTGATAAACATTAGACTCATATATATTAGATTCATTACACACAACTCAAGCCATTTATTGTTTCTAATATTGATGATTTTGGCGTACAGCTCGAGAAAACCCAAAATTCCTATCTAAAAAAAATAGCATATCATGAAATGGTTCTCTAAGCGAGCTACTAACCTAATCATCTGAATCAACTAATTAACTCTAAACACCTGCAAAAGATTCCTGAGGCTTTTAAAAACTCCCAGCCTGGTTCATTACTCCAAATCGCAATCAGACACTGGTCGAGCCGATCATTGACACCCTCAAGCAAGAGGGTAAGACACAGAAAGACAATTCTGAATGAATAGGCGGTTCCCAGAGTGCTGTATCAAGGCACCTCAGTGGGAAGTCTGTGGGAAGGAAAAAGTGTGGCAGAAAATGCTGCATAATGAGAAGAGGTGACCTGCGGAAGCAGTGGACTGAGTCTGGAGTAGAAACATCCAGAGCCACCGTGTACAGGCGTGTGCAGGAAATGGGCTACAGGTGCCACATTCCCCAGGTCAAGCCACTTTTGAACCAGAAACAGTGGCAGAAGCGCCTGACCTGGGCTACAGAGAAGCAGCACTGGACTGTTGCTCAGTAGTCCAAAGTACATTTTTTTGGATGAAAGCAAATTTTGCACGTCATTCGGAAATCAAGGTGCCAGAGTCTGGAGGAAGACTGGGCATAGGGAAATGCCAAAGTGCCTGAAGTCCAGTGTCAAGTACCCACAGTCAGTGATGGTCTGGGATGCCATGTCAGCTGTTGGTGTTGGTCCACTGTGTTTTATCAAGGGCAGGGACAATGCAGCTAGCTATCAGGAGATTTTGGAGCACTTCATGTTTCCATCTGCTGAAAAGCTTTATGGAGATGAAGATTTTATTTTTCAGCACGACTTGGCACCTGCTTACAGTGCCAAAACCACTGGTAAATGGTTTACTGACCATGGTGTTACTGTGCTCAATTGGCCTGCCAACTCTCCTGACCTGAACCCCATAGAGAATCTGTGGGATATTGTGAAGAGAAAGTTGAGAGACGCAAGACCCAACACTCTGGATGAGCTTAAGGCCGCTATCGAAGCATCCTGGGCCTCCATAACACCTCAGCAGTGCCACAGGCTGATTGCCTCCATGCCACGCCGCGTTGAAGCAGTCATTTCTGCAAAAGGATTCCCGACCAAGTATTGAGTGCATAACTGAACATAATTATTTGAAGGTTGACTTTTTGTATATTAGAAACAATAAAAGGCTTGAACTACTTCAGTTTTGTGTAATGAATCTAATATATATGAAAGTCTAATGTTTATCAGTACATTACAGAAAATAATAAACGTTATTACAATATGCAAATTTTTTGTGAAGGACCTGTATCAGATCCAGTTCTATTTGGTTATGGATGACAGCCGCAAATAAGAGTGAGCAACAAGCAAGTGCAGACAAAATAGCAGCTCATTATAGTTTACACACACACACACACACACACACACACACACACACACACACACACACACACACACACACACACACACACACACACACACACACACACACACACACACACACACACACACACACACACACACACACACACACACACACACACACACACACACACACACACACACACACACACACACACACACACACACACACACACACACACACACACACACACACACACACACACACACACACACACACACACACACACACACACAGTGTACCTTTGCAAACTGGATGCAAAGCTGCAGGAGCTTCTATGAAAGAGCTCACGTCATGGTACCCATGCTGGCAAACACACAAGTATGAGCCCAGAGTGTTGATGCAGGCAGAGTTCTGAGGACATAAGAGTTGTCTGGAAGAACAAAAATCTGGACCTGAAGAAACACCAAAGTACCACCAAGGTTTAGAGTCAGAATCAGAAGGGTTTTATTACCATGTATGAAAGGATCACAACATTGGGAACTTGCTGATGTACTTGGTGATAGAAAAGATAAATGATGAGAAAAATTTTGAATTAAGAATTAACTCAATGAAATGTTAATATAGGGAGTCAACAATTAGAGATGCAGCTACTATATACAAGTCTGTGTAGATACTGGTCAGAGCGAACAGATGAACACCAGTGGTCAAACTGAATTGTTTCTGTCTTTAACAAAAGGACCAGTTAGAGATGATTCTCATCACTTACCCTCCCAGTAGATCACACCGCTCCTCACACTAACGTTGGGAAAATTCATGGAACTGATGTAATTGAGCTGATCATCAACTGGCAGCTGGACATCTTCGGTTTTGGAGGCATCAAAAGACCAAAACTTTATCTCAGTTTTTTCATCAGCAAGTTTAAAGGACTCCAGCTCAATGCGGGCTGGCTGTTCAAAGTCTTCCAACAACTCCTGCAGCTGAAACACACACACACACACATACATTGTGCTCCAGAACACCCGGACCATCTGTCAGAACTGCATTTGCATCTCCACACAAGATTAACTCAAATGACCAAATTAAAAGTTTTACAGTAAATTATGGCTACACTTTAGTCTGAGCTGCATCTATTCACACCCACGTAAACTTTCTCACCTTATGTTTGAAAATCTGCTCCACTTTAGAATTATCCTGTAGATCCTCAGGGAGAGCCCAGGGCACGACCATTTTGAGACCCACATTGTCTGAATCCAACTCTATGAAGTCACCAAAACAAAGACAAAATAATGTAAACGACATTAAAGACAGACCTCTCGGCCAGGTCTTGTTTGTAAATGATAAAATGTTCCCAAACATTTTACCTGGTAAAATAAAGGTTGAAAATAATTAAATAAATAAATAAATAAAACATTGCTCAACCCGACATTGTCTCGGACTCACCTCTGTCCCATTGGGGATTGATGGCCCTCACATTGACTTCAAAAGGTGAATTGGCTCCTTGGAAAGATAAATGTGCTGGTGTAGACTCCCACTGGCCATCACATTCCTCCCACACATCCAGGACGTAGGGTTTGCCAGGCTCCAGCTGTGGGAGGGGCAGCTCCGTTTTGGACACCCGGCTGCTCTCAATAGTGGTCCCGTTCTGCAGGCTCAGCTTGTATATGTAGGCCACAGCTGGCTGGTTAGGGTCGCTGGGCGTCCACATGGCGGTGGAGTCACTGGAGCGGTAGTGGAGATCAGACACACCACGAGGTCCTAAATACAAACAGAGTTGGAATTAAAAGCACAAGAAGAACTTTTATAAAAGAAAAAGTCAATCTTGCAAATTTCACTACCAGGCACAATTAACTTTTTTTTACATTAACTTCAATTAAAGGTCAAATTCACTCATTTTTGATACATTTGCAGTAGTCTCTAGTAGGAATGAATGCCTTGTAAGTCATCCTCTGGGGCAAAAAGTTTCAGTGCATCTGTTTCAGCACGGAGAATTCAGCTAGAGGAGAACGTAGCTTCCTTATATTTTGGACATCTTACCCCTGACCGGCTAACAGCAATGTGGCTCTAGGACTGACGGTTTGCTCTGAAACATAGCCGTTTTATCTCTACAAATAGCAAGCCTAAAGGAGTTCTGCTCTGCGGTAGAGTTGCTAATGCTAACGGTTAGCTTCTACTTGCTGAGATGTTCTCTGCTGTTTCCTGGACGTTAAACAGCCTTCCCTGTCACAAGTCAAGATTAGGAAGTCTATGGGCCAATACCAATACTCGCACACTTGCGCCCTTCATTTGTGCGTTCCTGGCCCGGGGTGCGAGTGCGTAGGGTGTCCCAATTCTCAAGTGCGGAAGTTAACCACACCTCCATTGCACCTTTAATCCGCCCTTCACTCAAGTCCGCAGCAATGCGGACCTCGGGCAAGGGTATTACCCACATGTCATTGCTGCAGGAAAAACGGCTCAAGTTCCTTTTCTGTAAATATGTACTTTCTAATGAAATTAGTTAATTTTAGCATGATTAGTTGATGCTCTGAATGTTTTAGACAAAGCAGCAATGAAGTTAAATGTATTTCAAATAATTGCTTTGTTTGTTTGAAAGTTGTTAATAAAGGCTTTGAAAAAAGTTTCACAGCAACCAGCATGCGTTGCGATCGTTGACGCAACGCTCCCCGTCTCAATTTGGCAATTATTTGCACACTTGTGTACTACGCACTCGAACCCTACTGTGCACTTTCTCCAAGTGCACTTTGCTGAAGACCGCAGGACGCAGAGGGAGCATTGGGATTGGGCCTATGAATGTTCAGTGACGGTGTGATGTAGATTTGTCAAGATTTTCATATCCTAGCGGTTCACGGTCCATTTTGTATCAGAAGCTAATGGAGGAAATAGTTGTAGAAAACATACATGTACAGCCTGCATGATGATCTCAGTTACCAATTAGTCTGAAAAAATGCATCTAAAACTATTTTCAGTTAAGCTGACCATAAACCATTTGTCTATATAGTAAGAAACAGTTATTGTATCATTTTAGTGTAAGGTTACAAAACACCTGAATACTTTCACTTTAACATCACCTCACAACAGTGTTTAGTTAAATATAACCATTACCTGTGTGTGCTGTGATGGTCTTGGCACTCATGAGCACATTTTCTCCACAGAATGCCTCCACCTTGGCTTGGTACTTGTGGCAAGGCAGCAACCCTCCCACAGTGTGTCTGGTGAACAGCGTGGTGCCATGCAGCGCCCCCTTGTGGTAAACTCGGAACATAGAGATGGATGAGGTGTTCCTTACCTCCCACTCTAGAGTGTATTTGTCAGGCCCAAATGATTTTTGACTCAACAACTCGATGTTGGAGAAGGCTGAGGAGAAGAAAAGCAGTCGGCAATGTTTCTGAGCAGCAGCATGAAGTAAACCAGTCATTCTTCAAAATTCTGTAAGCCTGGCTACCCTACAGAGGAAGATCCTTTCAGCTGTTTGTATCCAAAATCCTGTTCTTTCAGTCACAATCCAATTAAAGAGTGATGAATTCCCACCATAATATGGTAGAGGGGGTTGGGTGCCATCACATGTGCCGTGTTGGGATCTATGGTTTCCCATGACAGCACCATGCACAGATCTGTAGCGTAAATATGATAATGATGGCAGACAATAGGAGTTCAGACGAAACAAACTGTTTAGAGCATCTTTAAGAGAGCTTGGTGCATTTAGATCACATCTTTACATTTTGAAAGACTGAATGTGTACAGGGTGTCCAAAGGTTATATAAACCGACTCCAAATATAATAAACTGTTAATGCTGAATTCTCATCATAAATGACCCATGCTTGTCTAGTGCCTTTCAAGGCCAGAGGACTCCAAAGTGCTCTCACTCATCCATTCACACACTGATGGTGATGAACTACAAAGTAACCACAGATGCCCTGGGGCACGATGACACATGATGTGGCTGCTGAGCACAGGCACCACCGGTCCCTCCAGCCACCAAAAGCAGGCAAAGTGGGCCAAGTTTCGAACCCAAGGATACAATATCTCCGCCGGGAGCCAGGATCGATGCGACTACCCTCTGATTACTGGACAACCCACTCTACCTCCTGAGCTACTGCTGCCCCAAAATGAAGCAACAGAAGAAGATGGAGACATTCTGTCTAGTTACTAAAGAAGTCATGGTCCAAACTAAATAAACCACTAAGACTATTCCAAACAACCAGTGTTGGACGTACCAGAGTTTCCATCGTTCAGAACCATCCTGCTGTAGCGGGACTCTATTCCTGCCTGGCAAACGGTCTGCAGGCCAAACTTAAGCCTGACACAGGGTGGCAGGTCAGACAAGGTGATGGTAAAACTATCATCCACCAGCCACAGCTCCTCCTCCTCTGTGACATGGCCGGTTCCGTTAAGATAAAAGACGGTGAGGAGGAAGTTGGAGTACTTAAGGTTTACAGGGCAGTCCCAGGCCAATGAAATGCTGCTGCTGTTCCACGATGTCACTTCCAAATCTCGTGGAATGTCTGGATCTGGGTGAGGTCAAAAATATAAACTATGTATTAGCTACAATGTTAAATTGTGTTGGGTTTATTTTTGTGTTGGTTTGCAAACCTAAAACCATCCTAAACCAAAGCAACAGAAACTAAACATGTGTGCATCGGTGTGCCGAGGACTTCATCTTATACCTGTAATGGTAGAGAGGCATGTCAGGGAGTGAGTCTCCTCGATCTCCACACACACCACATAGTGGCTGCAGGCTTCCAGAGCGGTGAAGCGGTAGTGACTGAGAGACGTGCTGTCCCTAAAGAATGGGTAGTAGGATCCCATTTCTATGTTGTAAAGGGTCACAGTGTGAGTATAGAGCTCATCGGGATCATTCTCCACCCAGGAGACCAGCAGCATGGTGGGATTCCTGGACTCCAGCTTAACAGGGAAACGGGATGTGTGTCCTGATACAGGAGAGAACATCTGATTGTTACAAGGCTTGATGTGGCAAAGTGAATAAGTGTTGTGAAAAGGTTTTTGACCCTTTTGTTCAATTGGTCACTTTAAAGCTGCAATCTGGAGTTTTGCCCTTTTCAGAATTTATGTGCGATTTTTAAAAAAAAATCTGTAAAAGCGATAGTTCCATCATGTACTGTATTATAATCTAGGCAATATGTTGTTTTATATGCTAAGCCCACCCCCGTCCCGTAGAGACCAATGCAGTTCGAAATGACCACCAGTCGGCATTAACCAATAGCGTTAGACACCTGCCAATGTACAGATGTCAATCACTGAGTGTGCACGAGTGTTAGACGACATTCCTAGACAGATGCAGAGTTGGTGACCTTTCTCACGGACAAGTAAGTCTCCTAAAACATAAATATGAACATAACATAATAGTGTATTTTAGCTCTGTTTGACAGCAGGAGGTGCACGTTCATGAACGAAAGATGTTGGTTTCAGCCGTGAATAGGGAGGCTAGAAATTGCGAGAAATTTGTCAGCCACTAGATGGTGCCGTTTTATTTAAAAAAAACTCCAAATTGTAGCTTTAATTGTTGGTTTCTAAATAAACCAATTTCAGTTTGGGGACTCTGGTAGTTTGTCCTGAAGGTGAAGTAGTAGCAGCCCGCTGCTTCTCCTCCTGATATTGTTGAGCTAAGAACCTCTCACAGCAGTGATGTTCTGTTAAGTGTTACGTTCCAGGCTCTCTAGGGGGCCTGGGGTAACAAGGACGACACATACTCTGATGTTAAAAGGTTAACTTAAACAACAGCACCAGCCGTAACATTAAGTATGTGAGTATGTAATAAATGATGGGCCAAGAGAAGCACGGTGGTTCGGTGACACCGACAACTCCGAAAGGTGTCATTGGCAGAGGATTTTAAACAAACGCGAGAGAACCACTTAAAAAAAAATTATCTCCACAATATATTTATAGCTATACGATGTTAGAACATTTTTAAAGGGACATTATGGAAGTTTGACAGCCAAAACATGTGTAGAAATAATGTCTTCTTGATACATTCTCCTGCAATGCCCTGGTCCTGTAGAATGAGCACTGGCATTTTTACTGATTGCCAGTTTTTCCGTAAAATCACAGAAAAAGAGCTGCTCGGGTCGAGCAGGCTGCTTCATGCGCGTTCACGCTCAGGCATAGCCCGTAGCATTTGCTATCCATAGCTTTAGCAGCAGAGAGAGGTAGTGCCAACTCAGCGACTTTGTCGCTGTTCCTAACGCCTAGTGATTAACCTAGCTACATTTCTGAGGACCCTTAGCTACTTTCTGTAGAACTTTCTTCCAGATATTTCCTGCAAATTAGCAACAAAATAGCCATTTTCGCTTCGAACCGTTCTTTGGTTTGACGTTGTTTCAGCTGTCATCAAGGATATAAATGTTACAGATACAAAGAACGTCACTGGCATTTTAGCTCACTTAGTAAGATGTCTGACTCATGTAGGAGACCTGGGTTCGATTCTGGGTGTGAATAAAGTTTGTTATTTGGAGTTTCTTTTTTACATTAATGATACTTTTTTTACAGTAATAAGACACCCACATTTCTTTTTGAGACTCGCCGAACGGCATTGAATTCACAGATAAAAGATGTGGGTTCAACTTTCATTTTGGAACAATTTTTCAAGCAAGGGAAGGGAATGATCTGAGCATGCAGGAGGACTGACCCATCATAAACCTTTGTCGGCTGTGCTGAAGAGAAAGGTACAGAACCAAATTATTTAATTAATTAGCTGCGCATTCTCCTGTCCTCTGTCCTCTGGGCCACACACACACACGCACACACACACACACACACACACACACACACACACACACACACGGGACTGTCTCAGCTGTTATTTTCGTTAAGGAGTGTGCACGTACAGCATGCACGCCTCGTGCACGAGCCTACTATTGAAGCTGCCGTTACGCTTTTGGCCTGAGGGGGCAATCGCGAGCATAAAAATTCAAAAGTCCGTAAAGTCCCTTTAAGAAGCATGAAAAAATGTTTTAAGCCAATTTGTTTTGCAAATTTGCTGTTGAGGCTTTAATGTGCTCTACAATCAACTCACAGATGGAGCTAATGTACATGCCCATCTCTGAGTGACCAAATGCAGATAAGCACAGCCTTTAAGCTTAGTAAGTTTAAACCAAAAGCATTGAAAATCTGAGACTTGGAGATTCTTAAGGGAAGGTTTTTCTTTTAACTAATTCACTTACCCCTCACAAAGAAATACTGCATCTATGAAAACTGCATTTAGGTCCTCAAGTACTTTCAAAAGTATAAAACTATTCTCACCTACAGCGAGGAAGAAGTTTTCATCTTGATGGAGGAACGTTGTGCCACTTTCACATGCAAACACTTCATTGAGACTCAGCAGATTCAGTGAGCTCTGTAGCAGAATATGACAGTAAAAAAAAACAAAAATGTCACCTTAGCCAATCCTCTAAGAAAATGAGATCCGATACCTTAGTGGCATTAGTTGGCTGCTCTGAAGGTCTCTGTCGACCTGTAATTTTAATGATCTTGGTACCTTGGAGAGGAAAAAAAAGTGTTTACAAGCATTTGTTAACCCTAAAATGACATGAAAACTGTGGTCCTTACGTGGGCTGATTGTTAATGTCCATCTGTGAAAGGAGCCCCCGAGCTGAAGGGAAAGTTTATTCTCTATGAACGGAGATACTGTCAGGGAGGTCACTTTACCGTGTTTCATTATAGATTTTAACGATGTGCCGTTGAGCCACAAGTTTTCATTTAGCCTGAAATAAAAAAAAATTAAAATTGAAATACACACACGTTTTAAACTCAGTTACACACAGAGGGTTGATTTGAACATGCAGTTAAAAAAAAGAAAACATTCTGTATTACATATCCAGACACACTGTTAATGTAGCGCAAAGGGGACATATGCAAAACTCAGCTTTTGTGCTGTCATGTGGGTCTCTGCCTCTAGAAACTTTCTAATTCCAAACCCATCCATTTTCTGTGAGTGTTTGGCTTTAGGATTTATGCATCTAAAACAAGTCATTTCCAACAGTCCCCATTTGTGATGTCACAATCTGGGAAATTAGTATCGAATCACCCCTCATGTACAAGAAAGTGCTGCTAAAGCAGCAGATATTGGAGGCCCTCTCAGAAGCACTTTTTTTCTTTTTTTTTTCTCAGAAGCACTTTTGAGCCTCCCATCCACCCATCCCCCAGTATCCTGAGAGAGGATGGGTGGGAGTTGCCAACTCCAGCTCGTTTTTGTAAATAATGAGTCTAAAGCCTAATTTATACTTCTCCATCTGAGTCAAGATGGAGACCCGCCCGTGACTGGAGGAGTGAAAAGATATGCAGAATACATTCTAGTCGTAGACGGAAATGATTGAAAACGTGGGTTTAAAGGTGGCGAGTGCATGAAGAGGTGGAGGAGAATGACAAATTTGTCCCTGTTAAAAAGTCTAAAATACAAAAAAAAAAAAAAAGACCACTAAATAAACACTATCTTGGACATAGGACATACGGACCACTTTCCACACTCTACTACTTTTTTCTACAATTTGCTCTTTAACTGCATTAATTCCTGCCATTTCAGCTGTTAACTTTATTTTTTTCTCCAAGTGTTTTTCTCCCCAGAAGCAGCTACAATAGTGTTCTGCTGAGCTGTGGTGGCCTCATGGAGGGGGCCATCGGCTTGAACACTGTTGCTAACCACTTAAACATTTTCCCTCTCCTGAAAATAACATTTTACTTTCTTTGACATTGAATGTGCTACTACTAGTTTACCCGTTCAATAATAGATTCATTAGGATAAATACAATAAAGTTTATCTTCACCAAATAGAATATTTACTAAGAAATCACAATGTAACCATAGAAACACTACATGATATATATGTTGTGTGTGTGTGTGTGTGTGTGTGTGTGTGTGTGTGTGTGTGTGTGTGTGTGTGTGTGTGTGTGTGTGTGTGTGTGTGTGTGTGTGTGTGTGTGTGTGTGTGTGTGTGTGTGTGTGTGTGTACGTGTGTGTGTACGTGTGTGTGTGTGTGCTCTGTCTTCTCGATACTGAGCCAGGATCCTCTGGAGTTCTCTTCCTGTTAAAAGGGACTTTTCCTCTCCACTGTCGCTAAATGCTTGCTTAGTATGAGTCACTGGGTTCCTTATATAGGAAACTTTTTACTGATTGGCTTAATGAACTGGGGCCTCATTTATCAAGCTTGCTTACGCAAAAAACGGGGTCGGAAAACTGCGTAAGCAACTTTCCCAGGAAACTTTGGGATTTATGAAAGAAAACTTAGTGGAAAAAAGTGTGCAACTTTAAATTGACTAAGGACCTGGCTTCCGCACATTTTGAACATGGAGAGCACCTGCAGTGCTGCTGCTGAGAAGGATAAAATAATGAATTCCAGCATCATTATCACTTGTACCGCTTCGTGCGCATACAGAACAACCCCCCCCCCCCCCCACACACACACACACACCTTGAAGTGCAGAATATGGAATGCTGAGTATCAGCAGATTGAGACAATGTCATGCGTCTGTGACAGTGTGAGCGTCCTGTCACTGTGACCCGATTGATCATGCGCCCTGGCTACTTGGTCAAGGGACATCTCCCTTTGGCTGACTTAGCGCATGTGACTCTCACCCGGGGGTCTGTGGACTTCATCCTGATTGGACCATGTTTTTTTTTTATATCCGCCACAAATCTCTCTGAAGAACTCACAGCATTGACGGCTTCAGCAACGCTGTGCCACTCAGTGGATTTTCTCACTTGTTTTGCAAAAGCACTTCCATTCATTTCTCCACCTCATCCACAGGTAACCAAGTTTCTGCTTGTGAAATAGTGCTTCCTAGACCTGCGGTTAATGGTGTAGCGCTTCAAAGAGCTGTCTTATGTGTATGCATGAGATCCACAAGGCACTTTGCAGTGACCATTTATGACAGTAAGTGGACGTGTTGAGGGCGGGATGTGACTAAAAAGCAGCTGAGAACCTGTCTCGTTAGTCTCCGATTTATAAAGCGGAGATCGCATGAAGCTGTGCGTACTCCATGTTTTATAGATCACAAACCTAATTGGCGTACGTACATTTTTTTTTTGCTGAGCTTAAGTACGGTTTTAGTAAGAATTCTATGCAATGCTTTATAAAAGAGACCCCAGACCTGTATTGGAATGTTTACTGTGTGAAGTGCCTTGAGCCAACTCTTGATGTGATTTGGCGCTATATAAATAAACTTGAATTGAATTGATACATGACAGGGTACCACAGAACAGTGCTATGCCCTCTGTTGTCCTTGCCCTCTGTTGTCCTGGTGGGGAATTGCTTTGCAACACTCCCCAGGAGATGGAAAAGTATGAGGGCAAATTGTCTCCATCAGTGTGTGCATCTCTCCCTCCTGGAGCTAACAGAGAAGTATAAATTAGGCATTAATCTCCTCTTCCGGTCGGCTCATGGGTCCCTGGAAGAACGACAAAATGAATGCAAGTCAATGGGGCTAATGGAGTCATTTTCTAATCCATTTTTCCTTAGGCCATGGATCATGCACGTGTACTTCAATTTAAATGAAAAGTAACGATGGGTGTTTCGACCATGCCAGTCACGTACTTTGAGATTTATCGGCTTGTAAAAGTTCGTAATTAGCATGACTACAAATCGGATGTCGGTATGTCGCATATATGACATCCCCACATAATCTCCACTCCCCTGGCATAGCTGCTACTTACCACATTGCCAGATTTTTGGTGGTTCTTTACTCCAGAAAGAAAGGTTTGAAGCTTGCTGAACTTGCAGCTATTTCCCTCTGGTTTTCTCCGTTTCTGGTTCGGTGATGTCACTTTGGTGATGCACATTTGTAGTCCTGGACTTATTTTCACACAAAACCTAAAATAACGTTTCACCGTGTTCGAAAATAAGCACTTTCTTGGTATCAAAACGTTTCTTTAAAATCCACGGACATCATAAGTGAAATCCATGGCACATAAGCGTATTTAGAAAATACCGTTTATCCCCATTGACTTTCATTTTTTTTCCATTTTTCCAGGGACCCATGGTCCGTAAGTAGATGGGCGTGACTTACGCTCCTCATAGACAGAGCCCTGAAATGGCTCATTCTGGAAGGTATAGTTCTAAATGACTCATTAAATGAAGTAAAACTCCACAATTGACTCATTCACTTCACACGTACACTTCACTGTAATATTGAGTTGTTATTAACTGAAAAAGTAGTTTAAAATATATTTTAGAGCTGACAATTTGCTCCTAATTCACCATTAGCATTGTTAACACAACGTTAGCCTCTAGCCTGGTTCACCTGATATTACGAGTAAAACAAAAGGATGCCGTTGATTCTTAGGAGTACAATAACCAACTTATGGGTTGCTCCTGTTTACTCGCTTCAGTTCTTTTAAGAACTCTGTAGCTTTTTGTCTGCCGGCATGGAATTGCCAATGCCTGCCCTGGAGTGTTAGCTTGCCAGAGACATCGCAACCTCACAGTCTCAGGCCCTGTCCACACGTAGCCGGAGATCTGCCAAAACGTAGATACTTTTCTATGTTTTGGCCTGTCATCCACACGAAAACGGAGTTTTTTCACACGAAAACGGATCTTTTTAAAAATTCCGGCCAAAGTGAAGATCTGCGTTTTCTCCGTTTTGGGTGTCTGTGTGTGGACAGACAAAACCGGAGTTTTAAGGTCTGCAACGTCACTTTCCGCGACAAAAAAATGCTGACATCACGTGTGCGACCTGTTTACACTAGCCGACATCATGGATGCCCTCAGAGCTGCGCTCGCTTCATCAATTGTCCAAGCGCTTTTTGCTTGTTTGTTTTTACAAGCGGAATTACTGCTCCTTGCGGAAGACCACAGACGAAGGATGAGGTTAAGAACGGGGGAAGTACTGCCGCCTACAGGTCTGGCATGTCCTTAACAACGTATTTATCCGGGTATGTGTGGACAGTTTTTTTTTAAACGAGGTGGTGTGGATGCAAGTTTTTGGAGGGGCGGATATTCGTTTTTAAAAAAACCCGGCTATGTGTGGACTAGGCCTCAGACTAAACAGGAATTTAGTCCCTCTAGTTTTTTTTTTTATAAAAGGAGAAAAACTGACAACGCCCCAGCTGTCTGAGAATGAAATTTTTTATTTATTTATTTTTTTTTTTTACCGTGTCCTATCTGGCTGTGAAGCAAGCAGAATTGATGTCTGAATTCTGGTGACAAGCCTTACAGATTTATTAATGAAATCATTTTCAATATAACCTTCTTTTCAACACGACAGATATTAGACTCTTTTGTGATTTTTCACTGTAGAATTCGTACATATTGCTCCTTTAAGAAAAAATGTCCCCTTTAATACATTTAAAACGTTATTTTATTTTGCGTATTTTAATATAAAAAAAAAATCAAAATATGGGGGGGAAATGGTTGGGCTGCCTTTGTAAACTCGTTTTAATACGTGATTTCAGAGGATTTCATTACCAGGATAAATTAACTGTTTTACTAAAATCCCCTAAAATAAGATTTCACTTTTTGCCTGCTTTGGATTGAAACTCCTTTACATTTTTCTGAGCAGGAAAGAATCGTTTTGTGCTTGAAGCACAGGAAACACCCTGATGTTTAATATCTTCCGTTAAAATGCCATTCCTCCTGAACTAGCTCATATTTTTGAGTCTAAACATAAGACGTGTATGGGGAACAACAACTCCGCGTGACACACTGGGTCAAAGGGCCAAAAATGTTTAGAGTTGCAAAAGAGGATATGACTAAGAACAGATTTTTAGCAGTAAAGAAACTGAAACCACCGACAGTAGTTTGTGGAGACAACTTGACGTTTACAGGTATGTAACATGTTAGTTTCGTAAACCGGATTTGGAACTATGCTCTGACTACAACGTTTGTGTCCATATTGCCTATTTAATAATTTCTATTTCATTCCATCAAGACAGTAGTAGCCAGTAGGTTTAACGGTGTATAAAAAGGCACACGGAGGAGCACGTGACACATAGAAAGGAAACCTTAATAATTACATTTAATTCTGCAAACGGGCAGTTTTTTTTTAATAACAAATGCGTCATGAAACGCTTAAACGCAACAATCAGTTTAACATTCCGCGATTATTTCTTACCCAAACCAGACAAAAATCGTGTTTACCTGCTCAGGGCGTCATGTTTTCCCAGCCAACAAATTGAGAAGGATATGTCGAAGCACCGACCTGCACAACAGTAAATAAATTAACATTAAACTACGTGTTTACCTTAAAAGTTAAAAGATTTATTTTACTCACCAAATGAATGAGGCACCAATATGAAAAAGACAAATTTCAAGGAGTTCCTGCAAGTGTTACAAAATAAATTATTTTAATTTTGCTAAAGTATGTCATTTAGGTGTAAAAATTATCTTACATGTTTGTCAAATTCCAACAAAGTCTGTTGTGGTTTTTTTTTCTTTCAAAATTGCAGACAGGCAGTGACAGCCTGTTAATAAGAGGCAGGTGTGTCCAGCCAGGTGTGCCCTATCACATTTCCTGAACTCACAAGAGGAAAAAAAAACTGAAAATATTTTGTCTAGAATTAAATTATTCTTTTTAATGACTCGTGAAAATTATTAGCCTACATTTTATTAGTACTGAATAAATGCTTATTTCGATGACCACTTGTTTTGTTTGTTTTGCTCAGCTGAAATACCATTTTAGTAATTTTTTAAGGTACTCTTTTTGAAAAATACATTTAAATATATGTATTTTATTTTATGTTTTGCTTTGCTTGCATTTAATTTTTTTTTCATTTTCTGTTGTTTTGTATTTATAGATGAATGTTTTAATCTTGGCAGTCCACTAACCTTTCTTCAAAAAAATTGAAACACACGTGAGACCAAATTTCACATGGCTATAAAGTAAAAATGATAACAAAATACGTATTTTTAAGTTTTCTTTTTCTTTATATATTTGTTTTTACTGTTATACCACTTAAAGTGAGAAAGCTTTTTATAACCCTTATTAGATTTCTAGAAAGGTTCCAACCCCAACTTTGAAAAAGCTAAACTTTTTTTAATCAATTTTTTCCTTTTTTATATTTTATGAAAAACAAAAAAATAAAAAATTTGTTTTTTTCTGCAATCAGTTGATCCAATTTGAACTGGCTTCAGGATTGACTGCTGAGTGTTGGTTTGCAGATGGCCAGCAAGTGGCACTGCAACCCTGGTTGTGAAATATCTACCAACTGTACACCACAAATAAATGTTCTTGCTTCAGTGTGAAATAAGAGGAATTAATACTTTTGGTTCAGTAGAAGCAGTTTTTTATTTTAGTAAATGTTAAACACATTTGTCCTTTCATTACGCTCATTTAAACCCATTTAACTGGTGTGTGTGTGTGTGTGTGTGTGTGTGTGTGTGTGTGTGTGTGTGTGTGTGTGTGTGTGTGTGTGTGATGTTAGCCTGTAAGGAACGACGGATTGTTCTTCATTAGTGATGTGTATTTCTCTGTCTGTATCCAGCAGTTTAGGGTCTGCATGACAGCATTCAGCAATCAGACAGGGCAGCTTTGTTAAATACAACCTAACAAGAAATCAAGCAAATTGAAGTCATGCACAGCCTGTGAACAGCCTAATGTAGCAGGCCCGAGGAAGCAGCAAAGCTCCTGTTTCAGCTGATTCATAAGTAAGGTCTTGATCTAAGCAGCCGGCCGTTGGGAGGTATACGACCACTGTGACACAATATGGAGAGCTGGCTGTACTTGCTGCTGCTGACTTCAATAACTTTAGTGAATTCCTCTGGAGAGGTGACAGAAAATGATGATGGAATTGACCTCGTCAGCTTCCTGAGAAATATCTACAGCGGACTGCTTGTGAGAGAGGAGCCGTTCACCAGAGACCTCTGGAAAGAGTCCCTGAAGGAGCTGAGAGGCCCAGCGGACCCTGCCATTAAACAAGAAACCCAGGACAAACCAGACCAGGTTCCTGGGCCGGTGGTGTTCACCAAAACAGGCCAGATCAAGGGAATCACTGTGGATGAGGCTCACATATTCTACGGTGTACCATATGCAGACCCCCCTGTTGGGGCTTACCGCTGGAAGCCTCCTAGACCTGTGAGTGCTTGGTCAGGCGTGTACAACGCCTCCTTTCCCCGGGCAGCATGCATGCAGTTCTGCAGAGGTGCTAACACAGAAGAGTGCCCTAAGACGGTGAGAAACATAAGTAGCATGCATTTCAATTGTTGTTGTTATTGTTATTATTTCTACTACAATGTGGTTAAGTATGAATTAAACTGAACATTTAAGATTAGAAAAAAGTCTTCATTACAAAATTAACATATTCTGGTAATGTTAGCTTTTGAAACAAATTGTTAGAAGAGACCTTTATAACAGAATCAGTGCTTGTGTTATAAAATAAAAGTAGATTCAGGAATAATTGGACTGATCGGACGGACAGAGTCCTACACAAAGTCAAGAAGATCTGTGTCCTCTGGGTAAACATGTCTCAATATTTGTGCAATGAAACAAAACTGTGATGATTATCAATAACATTTGGAGCTAATCCTCTATCTTAAGAAGTAGCTGAAGAGTGTGATGTATAATATGTGTATGGCGTTTAAAAGTTGGGTCATTAAAAGACTGCAAACTGATGCCGATATTTTTCCATATTAAATTTTATTGCAGATAACGGCTGATATTAATAGTAGACCCAAGTTCACGATCGTGTCCACTGCTGTAGCTCACCATTCCCCACGGGGATGGGTCAAATGCAGAGACTCACCAGTGTGTGATGATGACTAATGGGACTTTAGACAAATAATATCCCTAGTTAAAACACACGCTGGATCTTGTTGTATTTGTTTGCTTTTTTCACACTAACTGCTTCATAGTAACTAATAAACTTAAACTGATGTCAGTCTTAAGTAAAGGTGCTTCAGTTCTAAAAACACAGAATAGCTTGTCTCCTCGTGTCTCTCAGGTCAGTGAGGACTGCCTCTACCTCAACATTTTTGTACCCCTGGATGTGAACTTCAGCTCTTCTCCGCGGCGCCTCCTGCCTGTCATGGTGTGGATCCACGGGGGAGATTTCATAGCCGGGTCGGCCTCCAAGCCCCTGTTTGACGGGCGTTTCATCGGTAACCTCACCAACACTGTTATTGTGAACATGGAGTACCGACTAGGTAAGAGCTGCAGAGTCACCTGATGATGTTCTTCCCTTAGACTGCACATGTGCATGCAGACATCTATGCTTGACCCGACATGAGACTAGAGATGACAAAATAGTAGTGTGTGTGTGTGTGTGTGTGTGTGTGTGTGTGTGTGCGTGCGTGCGTGCATGCGTGCTTGTGTGTGTGTCTGACACAGAAAGCTGGAGAATTTGAGCATGTAATTTTATTAAACAACCTTCCTATGACTTGAGATTGGAACAGTGAACTGTCATTTGGATCTGGGAGGAAATGAATGTCTTGCCTGAGTTAATTACATCTTGCTGATCATGTGAACTGATTCGTGGCTGAAGGCGCGTTCGGATTCCTCGTGACGGCCAAAGATCCCGTCTCCTCAGCGGCAGGGAATTATGGGATTTTGGATCAGCAGGCAGCTCTTCTCTGGGTTCAACAGAACATCGCTGTGTTCGGAGGTGACCCCAGCAAGGCAAGTACACACACACACACACACACACACACACATACACACACACACACACACACACACGCTCATACATATCCATCTGGTGCAGCTCCTCCGTTTGAGCGGTGTTCAGTAAAAATGAACCAAATGCACCAAATGAGACACACTTTCAATCAAAATGATAACAAAAAAGGGAGAAATGACACTTCTCAGTGATTCGAATGATTTGGTGAGGTTTTTGATTGTGTCTTCTTAAAACTAAATAGAAATGATCAAATCAAACCTCAGGTGTTACAGGTAGTCTGAGTCTCTGGCAGCAGAAAAATCTGTATCTGTGTTTAGCCCCAAGCTTCTGACAGCAGTGGCAAAGGCCTTTTGTAATTGCTCTGGGTTTTATTCTTTTTTTTTTTTTTTTTTTTTTTTGGCGGTGTTTTGTTGGTGTCAGGTCACAATATTTGGGGAGAGTGCAGGTTCTCAGTCGGTGAGTCTTCACCTGATGATCCAGAGCAGCGAGGCGCTGTTTAAACAAGCCGTGCTGCAGAGCCTTCCCTTCTCCATTCCACTAAAGACGAGGTAAAGAAACCAACAGATCGGCCCACCTGCTGCTGCAAATGCCTACATTCTCTCAACTGAATTAGACGGCAAAAGCAGGAACTCATCAGTGAGCTGCGTGTTTTCGCCATGGTTTCCCACCAGGCAGGAGTGTTTCTGGCTTCAAGTTGAAGTTTAATTTGGTTTTTCTGCCTCTCCTTCCCAGACATGATGCCCTGAAGCTGGGAAGAGACTTCGCTGAGCAGACCAACTGCTCTGAAAGCGACTTCATCTGCCTCCTGTCTCTCACTCCCCAGGCCGTCCTGGCTGCACAGATGAAAACAAGTAGGACGCCACAAACCCAGAACTTAGAGCAACGCTCATGTCTGCCCACACAGTTACATAAGAAGGCAGGATATGTGTGTTTACTTGCAAAAGATGATGAAAACCTTTTATTTATCCAGAGATGCGGGAAAATAAAATCTGTAAAAGGGAACAGCGAGCCCCTGAAGGAACAGTTAGATGGATTTTTCTGCCTGAGAGGATAAAATGATGGTAATCTATCTGCTGTTGTCAGAGTTATTGATCTGTAATTCTGCAATTCCACCGTCAGCAGCTTTTTCTGAGAGTTAAGGAGAAAAAAAATCACTTAGACATGATAGTGGGAACATTTCTGATGTTTGTGAGCTTGCGTTGGTGCTGTTTGCTTTCTGCCATCTTTGTTTTAAAAATGAAACATTGATGTTAACTTGTCCTAATCCCAGGTTCTAAGATCGTGAACCCGTTCAAGTTCCTGGAGGTTTTTGAGACGTGGGGTCCACACATAGACGGAGAGTTGATTAAAGAGCAGGCCATCTCCGCCTTTCAGAGCGGCCGCTGGCAGAAGGAGAAGGCGGTGCTGCTGGGTGAGACGCGCCGACGCCAGGGGCTGAGCAATCACTCAAGAACAACACTGTTGTTTTCATTTTAGATCTGGAGCTCGGCTTTCTGCTGGACTCCCACTGGTCTTCGTTACAGCTCAATGTTATGTTGCAATTCTAATGATTGCAGTAAAGATGAAGCTAGTGATTAGTGGTCAGGAAAACAGCCCAACATCAGTGTTGTTTGTGAATCCCACCAAGGCAGGAGAGATGTGTGGTGACTAGTGATCATAGAAAAAAACATCATCACAATTATTTAACATTGTGGTTTGGAAATACCCCATTTTTTTCCCTCTGTAGTTAAAAATAGACCAGGATCACTGCTGTGTGGCTCGTCAAAATAACAACAAACCCTGGAGGCATCCCTCTGCTGGGCACACGAGACTTATGTTGTGATTTACCAACATTTACCAACTTTTGTTGTGTGTTTTGAATGAATAACCTCACAGATGTTTGATCCCCAATAGCCTTTGCCTTTATCCCTTTATAGGGCACTCAAATTTCAACCCCAGGGTGTTATTGTTGTATAAATAGGTCCCCAGGAAGAACAGCAGCAGCTCGCTGCAGCTAATGGGGTTCCTAAAATAATAAACAATATTGTAGTCCATGACCAAAGTGTATTTCTGTTGTTACAATTTTCAAAAATACTTATTTTCATGCAGTAAATCAGCAAAAACGAAGCGGTCAAATATGAACGTTGGCCCTGTTCTGGTAAAAGAAATCCCAAAATAAAACACATGAACAAGTTAAACAAACATTATTTTTGAATAATATAGATAATTATAAGACACTTTACAATAATCTAGCTAATTTTAGAACATTACATCACTGTTTGAAAATACAGAATATATCACAATTATTACGCAATATAGAATGTTTTTATAAAAACAAATTATTGTGGAAATTTTTTGAAAAGTTATTGAACAATATATGCTATTTCTGATCAAATTGATTAGATTATTAGAATATTTTTGAATATTTTACATTTGAGGATTGCCTCATTGTCATCTTCCTCCTGTTCATCATCATCATCATCAATGATGGCGAGATTTTGTTGGTGCAATAACTGTCCTCCATTTACCAGAAAATTTTTATTTTAAAACTGTAAATATATTCGATATCATAATTGTTATTATTACTGTTACCATGAATATTAAGATTATGTCTAAAAAAACAACAGATTTAACAAAAGAAATGTCATAATATCTTTTACTTGCTCAGGGCGTATGTTCAAATATGGCAAATTTGATTTTCATGGGATGATTTCACCAACTTCATTGAGTTTAACATTTAAAACACATTTATCCTTATTTAGCACAACTAGTCAACCTTGTGATGTGAGAGTTTCATAAATCTAGCATTGTTAGTTTTAGAGATCTGACCGTAAACACTAGAGGAGACCGAGCTGTTTCCTGGCCCTGCAGACACACCAATATTTGGCGAGTTATAGCCCAGTGCTGATTGGTGGAATGGCACCACGGCGCAAACGTGACTAGCTTGATCTCTGATGATTGTTTGGGTGAAATCCTGTAATCCTAAGAGTTTGTGAAAAGGTGCACCCTTACCATTTATGATGTGAGTGGAAGTGTCTAAATATAGACATTGGCCCCTGGGTTAAAGGCCAAGTTCATTGAGAAACCATTTTTTACTTTTCATGTTTGAAACTGATCAGTTACCCTGAATTTAACATGCAAGCTGAATGTAAAAATATATTTTCCTGCTTTAGCTGCTGAGCTAAGTTTAGAAAATGCAGTCAGATCTACGTCCCACTGTATCATTCCTCACCCCTCTTGACTCTTGACGGGGAAGGCTGTTGAAGGCTTCACCGTCCAGGAGAAAGCAGAGTGTGTCTCGGCTAGTTAAAAGCTAATCGTTAGCATTAGCAAATCCACCACACAGCAAAACTCCTCCAGGCTTGTGTTATTTGTGGAGATAAATCATCAACATTGCAAAGCAAACAGAGTCAGGGTAGGGTTGCGTTGTTGTTAGCCAATCAGAGACGTCTTCTACTCCCCAGTCCTTCGGCTAAAGCCTGGTTTATGCTTCTCCGTCAGCTCCGCAAGGGACAGACACGCACGGATTGACGGAAGTGTTTTGCTCTTTTACTTCTCCGTCTCCTGAGTGTTGCAAAGCAATTCCCCGGCAGGACAACAGAGGGCGTAGGGCTGTTCTGTGGTATCCTGTCATGTATCGGTCCAAGATTGTGTGTTTGTATTGTGTTTTTTGTGTATATAAGAGACTTTTAACAAAGACAAATTTGTCTCTCATTCTTCCACCTCTTCATGCGCTCCCCACCTCTAAACCCACGTTTCCTGTCATTTCCGTCCACAAATAAAACGCTTGCTGCACATCTTTTCACTCCTCCAGTCACGGGAGAATTAAACGTTCATATTTTTAGTTTTTTCGCGAGGTAATCTTCAAGCTTCTCCGTGTCTGCCGCTAGTTATTCTCGGCTCTCTTTGCAATGGGGCGCTGTAAACAACAGCGGCGTCCTGACCAATCACAAGCTTGCGTAATCCGTCTCGTTCGACGGATGTTTAAAAAAGTGGGCTCGACTCCGTACGTACTTGCGTGCCTGCCGGAGCCCTACGCAAGGACGGATAATGGCGTTGCGTGTCTCCGCACTGACGCAGACGGAGAAGCATGAATCAGGCTTAACTTCTAGTTTCTGAAACAGGAGTGCCAGTGCTTTTGTTCCATGGAGATCGACTCACAAGGCATTCATTTATACTAGAGACAACTGCAAATGTGCTAAAAAAAATAACAAGTGGACTTGGTCTTTAATGCATGTAGTTTTTATTGCAGGGCTTTGTTGAATCTGTAAAACCAAGACCTTCCAGAGTTTACGTTTTAAGAAAACCTCACACATTGATTTATGTCTGCAGGAGGCTGAAATGTGCTGTTTGTATTTTGGAGTTAAGCTATTTACCAAAATTACTTTTATGATACTAAAATCAATTCAAATAACCTTGAAAATGTTTAGGCTAGTTTAGGATTAAACACATATCAAATCATGCATTTGTAAATGTCAGAGTGTATTTTAAAACACCCATAGACACTAACTTATCAAATAAAGATTTCTGATGGATTAATCTGTCACTTGAAGAAAACATGGACACATCACTGCTAAAAAGGCAGAGAGGATTTGCTGTGGCTGGAGTTCAAAACAGGGAGATAGTGCTTAAAATTTCTATTTATTTACTTATTTGTTTATTTTAGGAGTGTTGATGCTTGGTAATCAAACTAAATTATTGCTGGGTGCCACAGGTCAGTACATGCAGAGGTCATACCAGAAAATAATAGTTGCATAGCTTTTGACACATCATACTGTTATGTTTTGCCTTCATTCTGCCATCTTTATTTTTACTGACCTTTAAAACACCACAAGACCCGTGTGAGTTCAGTGTTATGAGGGGGAGGAAAAGTGAGTCCGGCAGAAGGCATGACACGACAAGAACATGTTCACAAAACAGGATGTGACAGAATTTTTCTGTTAGCCTTTCACGTCCGTTTTGATCATTTAGAGCCAGAATAAAAATCAAAATACTAAACTGATTAATGGCCTATTGAGCGTATTTCTTCTGTCCTGTAGGTACGACCTCAGAGGAAGGAGTCCTGTTTGTGTACGGGGTCTTTAACAAACCAGTGTCTGTTTTGGAGTGCACCGTTTACATCGCCGCCATATTTAAACAACACGCACTGCAGGTCCTGCACAAATACCTGCCTCTGTACAAGGAGGCGGACCGAAGGACGATGTTAACCCAAGTAAGAGAAGCTCACTGTGATGCCTGCTTCTTCTATTTATTAATTTATTTGATTCAGAAATCAAGGAAAATACATGGAATTATGCAACCAAACTTGTGGCACTACTAAACTAGAACAAAAATAACAACAGAGGAATTATATTTAAAAATGAAAACAGCTCAGGTGAGCTTAATGATCCACCAAGCCCCAACAGCTGATGCTTTATTTGTGAAAAAATAGATATGTTTTCCTTATTTGGCTTGAAAAACCAGATGTCAGTTTCTGCTGAATGACAAATCACACTAATTAAAGCAGAAAATTATGAAACTCATTAATAGTGGTTATTTTTATTTATTTATTTATTTATTTTGCTCATCAGCAGCTGATGCGCAAAACAAAAAATATTAATAAAAATAAAGGTTGTTGGTTACTTTTAAGTGAATTTTAGATAAAGTAAAGGTTAGACTTCCTAATGAATATTTGCTAAACGATTCCTATTGAATAACATTAATTATATGTTGCTTTTATTGGTTTAAACCAGCTGGTTCACATATATTTTAGTTAATATTACATTCAATGCATATGGTATTGATGCAAAACTTTTAGCTTTAGTGTTTCTTGCTTGAGTCACAAGAACCAGGGTAAATGTATAAAAAGAAAAAAAATAGAAATCTGTAAATTATCATTTTGATGTGATTTTATTTATTTCCTGAAAAATAAAGTGGGGCTGCAGGAAAATGGGATTGTCCCTACAGCTAAACAAGCCCCAGCTCCTTCTGGTTTGACTGACAAGCCCCTGTTCCGATTATCCGTGCTTCCTGTCGAAATGTGCTACTTTGGGGAAATGTGAAGCGCATGCGCAGGCCGATTATTGCGTCACAGGCTGTTTACAAGTCGAGACGCGCTATCTGTGGAAGTGTACGTTTAATCTTGTCACTTATCTAGTTGCTTTCAACTCGTCGAAGGTCACAGTAAGTATTTCTTTAAGTAGTTTTATTAAATTACTGCTTGCTCTATGTTTACCTGACAGTTGGCTTGCAAATGGCTTCTAAAATATCATTATTATACTGTAAACAAGACATTTCTCCCATTGTTTACAGTCATTCTGAAAGAGTCCCAAATTAATATCCAAAAGTTTTATATTATACATATAATAAATTTATCATAGTTGTATAATAATCTCCAAAATTGTACATTCAGTAGTGACTCCTCTCTTAAAGAAACCCAACCTTGACACCAGCTCCACCAGTAACTTTAAGCCCATTTCTAAGCTACCTTTCATCAGCAAAGTACTTGAGAAGGTTGTTGAAAGCCAACTCAGATCCTGGTTTTCTAAGTCAAAGATCTCTGACCCCTTCCAATCTGGCTTTCTGAAGCAGCACTCAACCGAGACTGCTCTAGTAAGGGTGCATAATGACCTCCTGATGGCTGCTGATGCAGGGAAATGCTCTGTCATGGTCCTGCTTGACCTCAGTGCAGCTTTTGACACTGTAGACCACAACGTTCTACTAAACAGGTTAAAGGCTCTGGCTGGGATTTCAGGTTCTGCTCTAGACTCTTCCTATCTCACTAACAGAACATTCACAATGAAGTCAGAAACCTTCTCCTCAGATACTGCCTCTCTAACATGTGGGGTCCCACAAGGTTCAGTTCTAGGGCCTCTACTATTCGCATTCTATATTCTTCCCCTAGCTGGCATCATTCAGTCTTTCCCAGACATCTCATACCACATCTACGCTGATGATATTCAGCTCTATATGTCCTTCATGCCACACCAGGTGGACAGGCTGGCCACACTTGTACTCTGCCTGACCCAAATCAGTAACTGGCTGTCCAGCAACTTTCTTGTCCTCAATGCTAACAAGACAGAGACCCTGATTGCTGCACCCCCGGAACTTCAGCCAAAAATCGAGCAGGAAATTGCCTCATTTTGCCCATCAGCCAAGGCCAACATTAGACACCTAGGAGTTATTTTTGATCCAGTTTTAAGTTTAGACTCACACGTCAAAACCATCTCCCGCTTTTGTTTCTTTCGACTGAGAAACATTTCAAAAGTCCGTAAACTGGTCTCTACTGCAGATCTGGAAAAAATCATCCATGCCTTTGTGTCATCACGCTTAGACTACTGTAACGCTCTTTTTACTGGTCTCAGCAAAACCTCCCTCTCACGCCTTCAAGCCATCCAAAATGCAGCAGCCAGACTCCTAACCAAATCCAGCAGACAAGCTCACATCACCCCAGTTTTACAGTCCCTCCACTGGCTCCCGGTAGAATATAGAATTCAGTTTAAAGTTTTAGTCCTGACCTATAGAGCTCTTAACAACCAGGCTCCAAGCTACCTATCTGAGCTTTTATCCCCACACACCACCTCTCGGAACCTTAGATCCACATCTGAAAACCTCCTGGCTGTTCCTCGAACCAGACTGAAAACCAAAGGGGACAGGGCCTTTCAGACTATTGCACCCAGACTTTGGAACAGTCTACCTTCAAATCTCCGTCTCTCTAACACTGTAGAGGTCTTTAAAAATCATCTAAAAACTCACATTTTCATCCAGGCGTTCCCTCCCTAAATGTTTCAAAAAGATGGCTTTGTTCGGGTTCACACCTTCACTTTGTTTATACTCATGATTTTATTTTCTACGTTTAACACTGCTATTGTTTTTCTCATGTTTTTATTGGTTAGAGGTATTTGCCCTGATCTTTTTCATGTTGTACAGCGCTTTGTGATTTATATCTGTGAAAGGCGCTATATAAATAAACTTTTTACTTTTACTTTTACTTTTTTTTTTTACTTTTACTTACTTACTTACTTACTTACTTACATTCAAACAAATAACTATAAGTATTGGGGGGAAAGCGTATTTGTTCTATGTGGATTAACTTGTCTAATTAAGGATTAGGTAGAGAAATAGAACGGTAAGAGCTAACGTCTTACAAATCTCCATTTTTATGATTCACTTTCTCGACATGGGTGAAAGTAGTTGGTAAATCGTCATTGTTCTGAGAATATTCAAATGTTTTTAGCAACTAAGGGGTTAATTTTTTACGAAATGACTAAACTGCCTACTATCCACTTTTTTTCATAAAATAAATTAACAGTAGCTACCGATTTTCAGTAAACCTGAACATACTGAATCAGCTGTTGAAATGCACGTTGGTAAGAAAATTCGACGAGGAAGCATGGATAGTCAGAACCCCCCCCCCCCCCCCCCCCCAACATTTGCATCGGTGAAGCAGGCGGACCACCTGGAGTGAGGACATTTGTCTGTTTAAGATGCAGCCTGGCTGCTTTACTGAGCAGGGACCTGTTTCTAAGTGGATCTACAATGACAGCAGGGATCAGCTGGAGAATCACAGATTGAGACCAAAGCCCTGAGAGAAAAATAAGCTCTCGCTGAGAGAGCTGACACCCACTTCACTGTTATGGTTTGTCTGTCAGTTTTTTTCTGCAGGCTGCTGTTGCCACTGGGAGCTTTTATAGCTGCCCATAATCAAACAGTAGGGTTAGCAAGTCTGTCTGTGACACCCTGGGTGATCATATATTTCAGGTGGACAAACGTGTACAGGGGTTTCCGCAAAAACATATTTAGTTGCTGTATGGTGTGGGCTATGGACAGCATGGCATCATGGCAGTTTGGTGCATTTACACTGTGGCGGTTTTCAGCAGAAACATCTTTCTAAAACAACATGGCAGCATAACTTGGGTTTCATCTAAATGAACCCCCAGTTATGTGAAACCATGTCTGTAACTGGACAGATGAGAGCATAGAGATATCTACCTTTATATAAATAAACAACCCACACTTGAATAGAGATTGTTCATCACCAAACTGCAGGAGTTCCTCAGGGGGGATGTTCAGGTACCATTCTTTAACCATGGCAGTTCTGGGGCTAAACTGAGCGAGTGAGAAGTAACCCCACTCATGATTGGTCTCAGGATATTTTACTTTTGCCACATGACTGATGGGAGCACTCACCTTTACTTCTCCAAATAATTATTGGTTGTAATACACCAGAAACGTTACTCTATATAATCCTCAGTGCAGTTTCTACACTATAGCAGAACTCCTAATACTTTTTGGGCCAGTAGTGGTTTCTTTACTAGCCTTAATGACACCAAACCATCCTGCAAAAGTCTCCTTGCTGTGCCTGCTGCTCCTCCACATCGAGAGGAGCCAGTTGAGGTGGCATGGGCATCTGGTAAGGAGGCCTCCTGGACGCCTCCCTGGTGAGGTTTTCCGGGCACGTCCAACCCGGAGAAGGCCTAAAAGAAGACCCAGGACACGCTGGAGAGACTATATCTCACAGCTGTCCAGGGAACGCCTTAGGATTTCCCTGGAGACGCCGTTCCAAGTAGAGGGAAGTCTGGGCCTCCCTGCTTTGGCTGCTGCCCCCGCGACCCAACTCTGGATAAGCAGCTGAAAAGGAATGGATGGATGGAGCTAATTGTCTGACATTTGTATTTGGAGTCTTCATAAGCTGTAAGCTAACAGCATTACAATTATAACAAAAAAAGGCTTAAAATATTTCGCTTTGCATAGAATAGTTGCACCATGTTCTAATTGTTAGAGTTTCACCTGTAGGTAGACTGGAGTTGTGGCCAGGTACGGATGTTCAAAATAACATTTCATTTCAGTCTCAGATTTATATCAATATGTAGCAGATGTTCTTGGCTTTACTCAGAGGACACAAAAGAAAGTTTTTATAAAGCTTTAGGATAGAGGGCAGGCGTTACATCACATCCCTGTTTGCTAAGGAGATAGCATGTTCCTGTTTATAGCTTAATAGATTTGTGTTCGAGCCTGTTGGAAGCAGACTAAGAGGTGTGTGTGTGTGTGCTTGTGTGTGTGTGTGTGTGTGTGCTTGTGTGTGTGTGTGTGTGTGTGTGTGTGTGTGTGTGTGTGTGTGTGTGTGTGTGTGTGCGTGCGCCTGGGAGTTTGAAACATCTTCCACAGTTAAAACAACAAAAGTTTGAGTGACAATGAGGGAGCAAAGGAAAAATAAATGAATTTAGATAAATCTGATAATTAGATTGACACCAAAACTACAAGTTATTTGCAAACCCAGATAGCTCCATTATTATTTAAATATTTTAAAAAGAATGAAAAAAAAGCTTTCATGTGATATCAGTCCAAATAAAGTTTGGTGATATTGATCAAAATGGCTTTTATCAGATTTTTCTAATGAAAATTTTAACTCCGTATTTTGCTTTCAAATATTAGGAAACGAAGGGTAGAGAGAACATCTAATTTGGAGGAAGAATGACAGAACATACAAACATCTAAAGTTTTAGTAACCACATTTGTCTGCATTAGTGATGTGTCGGTCGTGAACGAACCGGCTCTAAGAGCCGGCTCTTTGAAGTGAACGACGGGAGCCGGCTCGTCATTGGGAGCCGTCCCCTCCCCTCCCCCCCTCCCCCCTGCTTTGGTGAAAGCTACAGGCGATTGGTCAACATGTGTAACTGTGTGTCCAGACTGTCCACACATAGAGCAGTAGGGGCGGGGAAGAGGGAGGATCATTCTCAGACAGACACACAGCAGAGCACATGTGGGAGGAGGGAGACGAGAGGGAATGAGGAGGAGGAAAAAGGCGAGCGAGAGGGAGGAGAGTGCGACGAAGACGGTGAGAAAATGAGCGCTAGCAGTCGGAAAGTGGAGATTTCTAGCATTGTTTTGGTTATAAATGTACTCTACGCAACAGAAAATCTGAGGAGCCACTTGGGAGCCGAAAGAGCCGGCTCTTTTTGGTGAGCTGAGCCAAAAGAACCGGCTCTCTAAAAAGAGCCGTAATTCCCATCACTAGTCTGCATATGAAATACTTCTTCATTTATAGCTGTTTGGATATTTTACTCTCAACCAAACTGGTGAACTTGACTTTCTAACACTTGTTTTCTGCTTTATTTCTCTCCTCAGATTGTGACGGATTACGTCTTCCTGTGTCCATCCAGGAGGTCGGCACGCATCGGCACAGCAGCAGGCAGTCAGATGTGGATGTATGTATTCGACCACGTGGCTTCAGACTTCAGCGTCTGGTCAGGGCTGACCTTCTGCTATAAGCGCGTGTGCCATGGAGCTGAGCTGCCTTTTCTTTTTGGCTCCTCCTCGGTGGCCAACTACACCCTGTCCTTGTCGGAGAAGCTGCTGTCTAACCGGATGCTGTGCTACTGGGGTGCCTTTGCCCACACCGGCGATCCGTCTTCCAGGGCCCAGCAGACTACTTTTTGCCGGGAGCAGCGTCTTCCCATTTGGCCGCGCTACTCGGACACCAGCGGCTGGCTCGTCATGAACCTGACAGTTCGGTCACACGCACAAGTGGGAGCCAGGAACCGTATCTGTGACTTCTGGGACCAGTTAGACATCTACTAATGATTCTGTGGGATGTTACATACATACATCTTTTATCAAAATTAGTATTTTGTTTTCAATTTGTGGAAAAGCAACAACTAATAAAGCTAACTCTGTGAAACGAAGGTAAAGATTTATATTAAAAAAATTTGCTCATTTTTAATATTTTAAGAAGGCAACGCTATTCGTTTAGCAAAATGGTTCATTCGGAGATTTGATTTTTCTTACTCTTTAATTACCATTTGGTTATTTCCAGGATGGCGTTTACCAAAACAACCATGTAATCGTGTGTGTGTGTGTGGTAAAAGAGAGGAGTGGATCTCCTGCCCTCGAGGCATCACCGTTGCGTTTGGGCTGTTCTCCAACAGCCAGCCTCCTCCAGCTGTTATCTGCCACACTATTTACAGCCTGGCACCTGCATGATGTGGCAAACATAGTTATGCAGATAGGAAACTTAATAGCATGGCAGTCATAACGGTGTGATAATTAAAACTGTGGGATTGGGAGAATAGGATCAGACAAATTTAAAATTGAGTGGAACATTTTTATATATCGCGGCTGTTTGGTCAATGAGAAGGAGTGGGGAGACATGGGGGACTGTGAGAGCGAAGACAGTAATTTAGAGTTGAGTTTTCGGCGGGAGTCGGTGAAGGGAAAGAGAAGTTACAACTCTGCTGACGATAGTACTAGGAAACGAAGAAGGGTTGAGTCGAGTGAAAGTGCTGATGAAGAAGGAGGACAGTTCAAAATCATATTGCGGTTCGGTGAAGGAAATAGGGTAAACATGGTGAACCCAGTTAAGCTAACGTCTATCTTAAAAAATCAAGTTGGAGACACAAAACTGGCTAAAGTTTTGAGAGATGGAAATTTGCTGATTGTTTGTAAAACTGAAGATCAGAGAGAGAAGGCTTGTAAAATAAGAGAGGTGGGAAAACATAAAGTAATCAGTGTGAGTAAGGTGGGAATGAGTGGAATGGGACCTAGAGGTGTGATTTGGGAAATACTGGTGGACGTTTCAGTTGGGGAAATAAAAGCCAATTTAAAAGGAGCAAAAGTGAAAGATGCTAAAAGATTTACAGAATTTCGGGATGGATCAAAGAAAGAAAAGGATTTTGTGCTGATTGAATTTCAGGGTGACGTTCTACCAAATAGAGTGTTTTTAGGCTGCATGTCATACACAGTGAGGGAGTACATTCCGAAACCGATTAGATGCTTCAACTGTCAGAGATTTGAACATACGGCAAATGTGTGTGAAGAACGGAAGAGATGCCCAAGATGTGGAGAAGAACATAGCTTTGAGGAATGCAGAAATTGAACAAAACCAAAGTGTTGTAACTGCGGGGGGTGGGGGGGGGGGGGGGTGGGGGGGTGGACATAGTGCGGCTTATGCGGGTTGCCTGGTGATGAGGAGGGAAACTCAGGTACAATGTACAAAAGTTCAAAGTAAAGTTTCTTATGCAGAAGCAGTTAAATTGGTGGGAGAGGCTCCGGTGAGAACGAATGACACAATGCCACAAGATTCCGCTCACGGATCTGGACAGGTCGGGAAAGTGTGGATGGATGTTAAGAAATTAGTGACTTTCCTTGCAAGAGTATTAAATGCAAGAATGGAAACTAAATCAAAAATGGAAAGGATACAAATCATTGTGAAAGCAGCTGTTCATCATCTGGACGTTACCGAGTTGTCACGGGAGGAGGTCAGGAACAACCTTAGTGCGAGTTCCAGTCAAGAGGGGTTGGGATAGTGAATGGTGGGGATTTTACAATGGAATGCTAGGAGTTTGATTGCTAACGGATAAGAATTTAAAAGATATATTGATGAATTGTTGGAGAAACCAGATATTATTTGTGTTCAAGAAACTTGGTTAAATAAAAAATTAGAATTTAAATTAAATCCGTTCTGTCATGAGCTGAACTAGGAAGACCCGTGAAGATGCCAAACACAATGAAAGTATATAAAAAAAAGTCTTTATTTTTGGTGGAGTTACCAGATGGGCGAGGCTGGAGACAGAATTGGAGACAGGCGAAGTTCAAAATGGCAGGCAGAGTACAAGGCAGGGGTCAGAAGAAAAACGAGGTCCGGAGGCAGAGATCAGGCAGGGTGGATGGCTGGAGAATTTATTGGCATGAAGTTTTCAATAATCTGGCAGAGACTGGATAGCTGGATGGTTCTTTTATAGCAGGGGAAGTAGATGTGTGAGATGAGCTGAGGAGTCAGGAGCAGGTGAAGTGGATGAAGCTGATTACAGGAACAGGTGGGATGAATGGAGTTGATTGTGATGCTGACTGAGGTTGCTAGGGAAAACAGGGCTTGGCTGGAGCTTGGTGAGGGGACCAGGTGAGATGAATGAAGGCTGAAAAATGAGAGTCATGACACGTACACAATAATTAGATGTGATAGGGAAGATGGTATTGGAGGAGGTTGTGCTATTTTTATTTATGTTAATCTGAATTATGGAATAATTAAAATAGGAACTGATGAACAATATATAGGAAGAGAATTGTATGTCAATAATAAAAAGTTGTATATAGTGAATTATTATAATCCATGCAAAAAATTTGATATTAATAAGCTTAAATAAATTCTGGAAGGGAATTATGATCAGGTGGCAATGTGTGGGGATTTTAATTCTCACAGTTCACACACAGAGTGTGTGAAGACCTGTCAAAGTCTCTGAAATGTCATATCCCAACCACCCCCTCTCTTTGTTTACTGGGAAACCTGGACGATGTCCCGATTGAAACATCTGTGGTTCACGTGGTTCTGACTGCCATATGCATCGCTAAGAAAACTATCCTCTTGAATTGGAAAAATAGAGAAACTCTCTGCATTAACTAGTATAGAAATCTTTTGTTAGATCATATTACACTCGATATAGCCTCTGCTTCCACTTCAGATCAATCTCTCTGGGCTCCTTTGATCGGTTCCATCACATAGCGAGGGTGGGGGGCCGTTGATGTTGTCCTGCGGGATGGTGTGGGTGGGGGGGGTGTGGGGTCTGAGTTTGGAGTATCCGGATGTTCCCTGGAGGTGGGTTCACTGGGGGTGTCTGGGACTGGGGGGCCGTTGCCCCCCTCTGGAGGTGCTTGGGTTGCCTCGGGGGGTGGACTACTGGCGGTTGTGAGTGGGGCGCCTTGGGGATCTTGGCGGCAGCCATGGGTCACTGCCTGGCAGCTGCATTGCCACTGGGCGGGTCTGGGTGGGGGCCTGGGGGCTCGGGGTTTGGGGGTGGCAGGCCCCGGGTGGGGATCTGGGCGGGGCCTTGGGGGTCGGGTCCTGACATGTATGCTGCCGGGAAGAAGGCAGGAACATGCAGCAGTGCCTGGCCCGGGTTCGGGTGCCTCAGGTAGACCTTGGCTCCTCTGCCGTTCCATCGCAGGGGAGGGGGAGGTCCAGGAGGGGGAGGACCCAACCTTACCTGGATGTCCCATGTCTTATATATTTTGGAAGTTGTGCAAATGCAGGGATGGGCATAGATATTCTGCTGGGGTGGGGCTGGGTTGGTGCCCTCGGACTCCGTGAGGCTCTGTAATGCTGCTGCTTTGGGCCCTGGCAGGATGGGCTGGGGTCTCCATGCCCTGGGTGCCAGTTTGACAACAGAGGTGCCTATTGGGGCCAGTACGGGAGCTGGCTCCCTGGAGGGTTATGCCCAACCAGCCATTCCTCCCCATCCCCACATGTTTCTCTCCTCCTGCTCCCTCACATCATCACACAAACATACACATAGGACCTTGGGGGGTGGGCAAGTCAGGGAGTGCGGGTATGGACCCCATTTCCGCATTCCTGTGGCAACCTGCCCCCCAATTTTATTTGCACCTTATACACTTCCATTGACGACATTCCACACAAACACACACTTAGGGCCTTGGGAGTGAGCACATTCAACGGCATTTGGCAGGGGGATATCTCGGCCTCCTCCCGGGTGCCGGTGCCCACTTCCAATTTTAAACCGCACTTAGACACTGAGGGCTGAGGGTGTAAGTGGGGTGGTGCGGTGGCATCAGCTGGCATAGGCCGGATGATGCCCACACTGCCCGCTCACCACAGCCATGGAATACACCTCATGATCACACAACACTATATTGGAGCAGGCGGAGGGAGACTAGGGGTCTTAGCCACCTCTGTTGTTGCTTGGCTTCCTGGGGCTGGAGGCTAGGAGGGAGATCTGGCCGTCTGGTTGGGGTCTGGGGTGGTAGATTGCTGTGCTCATCGTTGGGCGGGGGAGCCTGCTCATCAGTACCCCAGAAGAAAGAGTCAAACTCTGGTTACCGGTGATGGTTGTACCCAATGTGCAGCAGTACCGGGACCAGAGTGAATAGGGTGTGTATGGGGAGCATGAGTGGGTGTCTGGCGTGCATTTTTGTAAGTCTTTGGTTGTATGTGCATGTGTGAGCATGAGGGAGGGAGTGTGTGACTGTGTTTGTGTATGACTGTATATGTCAGGTGGGGCCTTTGACTCCTCTCCTCTCCTGGAACTTCTTTTGATGATATAGATCTTCGTCCCCCCTCCCCCTGCCACACCTGATGTGAGGGGTTGTGCCTTGCCTTGGTCTGCCTGAGTGTTTGTGGCAACCGGGTCTGGGGGTTTAAGATTTTGGCATCTGCCTGATAGATCGCGGTGGCTGCCTGCTGGGGTCTGGGTCCCTGGGCTCTGCTGGGTCCTCAGCGGGGGTGGTAGCCCCTGGGTCCCGGGCTCGGCCGGCTAGGGGGTGGGAGGCTGCGGGTGGGCCTGAGGGCTTGCCGATGATGTCTCCTGGGACTCTGCCGGCTGCTGGTTGTGGCCCCCCCGGCGCGATCCTCTGTGCCTCTCGAGGGGGGCGGGGACCTTTCTGGTTGCAGTCTCCTTGGGGTTCCTGCGTTCTGGGGCAGCGCCTGGATCTCTGAGACTTAGAGCTCCCCCCGTCTCCTGCGCATCTTTGGGGGGCGGATCTGTGGTCCCTCACACTCTCTGTTGGACGCTCCTATAGAGAAACCTTAAATAAACAAGCGCGTGTACACACACAGGTGCTCACATGGTGCTCTCAAAAGTATGGGCTTGGGCACGTTAAACACAGGTCTTAAGACTATGGTGGGCACTTAATGCACTGTGATTTATTATCGTGATTCTTCAGTTAAGCAATGTTG